ATGTCAATTGGGATTGTTGATGAACATTCGATTGCGCATGTCCATAAACAAAATGGTTTAACAGAGTCATTTATTAAACGTCTACAACTTATTGCTAGACCATTACTTATGAAAACAAAACTCACAGCTTCTGTTTGGGGTCATGCCATATTACATGCTGCGTCATGGTTCGTATCAAACCAACTGCATATTATCAATATTCACATTTGCGACTAGCATTTGGTCATGAACCTAATATTTCTCACCTACGAGTTTTTAGTTGTGATGTTCAAGTCACTATTTCACCCTCCCCCCACCCACAACAGACTAAAATAGGTCATCAACGAAAACTTGAGATTTATGTGGATTTTGGTTCACCATCTATTATTAGGTATCTTGAACTTTTAACGGATGATTTATTTACTATACATTTTGCCGATTTTCATTTTGATGAAATTATTTTCCCAACTTTGGGAGAGACAAAACTACATCCTGATAAATAAAGTAAAATTTCTTGGAATGAAATAATTTTATCTCACTTTGATCCCTCAACAATCAACGTGAGCATGAGGTTGAAAAAAACATTCATTTGCAAAGAGTTACAAATCAATTACCAGATTTATTTGTTGACACATGAAAAGTGACAAAGTCATATATATCAGCAGAAAATATTTTAGCAAAAATTGATGTCAGTGCAGAACAATTTACTGTAGCAAACGAATCTCAAATACGCCAGAAGCGTGGTCGACCAATTGGTTCAAAAGACTCTGTACCTTGAAAAAGCCAACCAAAAATTTCAGAAAAAGTAACATTAGAAAAGATTGATCAATCAAATATTGAAAATATAGTTTTTGAAGAACCACAAGTGTACGAAAATAATGAGATTTCAATAAATTATATGTTATCTCATAAATTATAGGAAATAAATAATGTCATTATAGACAATATTTTTACCTTTAACGTCACTCTTGATATTATGCAAAATGAGGATCTTGAACCATAGTCTGTTAAACTGTCAAAATAAAAATGATTGGCCAAAGTAGAAAGAAGTCATACAAGCGGAATTGAATTCCTTAGAGAAACGGAAAGTGTTTGGACATGTAGTTCGAACACTTGAAAATATAATACATGTTGGATACAAATGAGTTTTTATACGAAAGAGAAATGAAAATAATGAAATTATAAGATACAAAACCCGACTCGTAGCTCAAAGTTTCTCACAAAAACCAGGAATTGATTATGAGGAAACATATTTTCCCGTAATAGACACCATCACTTTTAGATTTTTAATCAGTTTGACTGTATCACAAATGCTTGATATACTTCTTACGGATGTAATGACTATCTATTTGTATGGTTCACTTGATAGTGACATATGTATGAAAGTCCACGAAAAACTTAAAAGTGTGAGAAACAAATGATACATGCCCGAGAACCATGTTCTCAATTAAATTGTAAAGTTCATTATATGGATTAAAACAATCCGGACGCATGTGATATAATCGCCTTAGAGAATATTTGTTGAAGAAATGCTATAAAAATGACGATTATGCGCATGTGTTTTCATAAAGAAAACAAATATTGAATTTGCAATTGTGGGAGTTTATGTTGATGATTTAAATTTAATTGGAACTTCTAAAGAGGTCAACAAAACTGCAAATTATTTGAAAAATGAATTTGAGATGAAAGATTTGGGAAAAATCAAATTCTGTTTCGAGTTGCAGATTGAACATTTTCGTCCACTTGAAGATGGAGAAAAGATTATTGGTCTTGAAGTACCATATTTTAGTACAATTAGAACATTAACTTATCTTGCAAATTGTACTCGACCGACATAACTTTTTCTGTAAATCTCATTGCAAGATATAGCTCTACATCAACACAAAGACATTGGAATTGTGTAAAACATATTTTTCGTTACCTAAAGGGTACTATTGATTTGTGATTATTTTATTTTCAAAAGTCGGGATCTGCTTTAGTGGGATATGCAGATGCATGTTTTCTCTCTGACCCACATAAAGCTAAATCACAAACAAGATACGTGTTTACACGTGGAGGAACAACTATATTGTGGAGATATGTGAAGCAATCATTGACAGCAACATTTTTAAATCATTCTAAAATTATTGCAATCCATGAAGCAGGCCAAGAATGTGTATGGTTGAGAAACATGACCCATCATTATCCAAGCATCATGGAGATTAATTTCAATAAAAGATAGTTCAACAATTTTGTATGAAAATAATGCTACTTGTATTGCACAACTCAAATGAGGTTATATCAAATGTGACAGGACGAAGCATATTTTTCCAAAATTCTTTCATACACGTGAGTTTCAGAAAAATGACAATATCAATATTCAACAAATTAGTTCAAGTGACAATGTGGCTGATTTATTTACAAAAGCACTGTCAACATCTACATTCAAGAAATTGGTTCACAAGATTGGAATGCGTCGACTCAAAGATTTTCAGTGATCAACATCAAGGGAGTAGCTGTACTCTTTTTTCTTCGCTTATGTCTTATCTCACTAGATTTTCCTAGCAAGGTTTTAATGAGGCAACAGGTATCTTTAATACTCCAAAATAACTGTACTTATTTTATTTTATTTTTCAATTGGAATTTTATCAAACAAGATTTTAACTAGACATATATTTTGAAATGTGTCATTTAAGGAAGAGTGTTGTAAATGATAAGTTATTGATGAATGACAATTGTACCCCTGCGGCCCTAGAAATTATTACTATGTGTATCATTATTCATTCCTTATAAATATAGGCTTTGGTTCTCATTGTAGTACACATAAATCTATTGACTTTTATTCTCTCTTCTCATTTTCTCTCTTTTTATAACAAATATATATATAAGGAAATGATGAAATTGAAAGAAAAGTTGACAATGACAATTATTTTGCTATTTTCAAATGAATGAATTTATGTTAGTTTTGCATTCGAGGTACTTTCTTATTGTTGGTTTTTAGTTTTTGGTTTGTTATGCCACATGTGGAATGCTATTGATGACATATTTTGCTAGATATGGGATATTAGTTAGTGGCACATTTGCAGTTGATTAAGAAAATGTTGAAATATACATTTGGTGGTATATTTTATATTTTCTATTTATACTAGATGTAAGCTCACGATGTTAGAAAAATGTTTTCGGTAGAATTGATGGTTCGAATTCAGATTTGGGTTTACGTGGGTCCAAATAGTTTCATTTATGAAATATCGCTCAAAGTGAAATGGGTGATTCAAAATTAGAGAGAGACCTAATCTATATAGATGGGAAATTAACAAATTGAGGTTAATCAAAACCATAGTTCATCTAGTGATCAATGTCAAATTGAGGGGGTGCACCAATTGAAGTTTTCCCCCACCTACTTAATGTCTACCCAGCAACGATGATAGGGAAATTTAAGTTGCTTCTAACCTTTTTGGTAACCAAATTTTAAATCTTTCATTTTTGCAACAATTAAATCACTACTGCTGCAACGCCCATCAGGCCATGAGAGCAGTGCGATGAAAATCCCAAAAGGTCGGCCTAGGCTTGGGCAACATAGTAGAATACAAGTGACGACCCTAATCTTACGCGTGTCGGTGAATGTAACTACTAAATAATCATCAAATTTATTAAATAAAAAGATAAGTGAAGCCAAAACATGAGCTTTTATCATTTCTTGAATAAATCCATGGTTCCACTGTAATGTTTATACGTCAGAAATTTTAGTAATCCAAAACATTAGTAAAATTAACAAAATCCCAAATAAAAAATTATGGATTGGAAATTAAATTTGTTGGTCCATTAATGGTAGCTTTGAATTGAAATTCTGGCTTGGGCTCCACCTTGAATATATACAAAACTGCAATCTGAACCAGGATTCAATACTTTAAGCCATTGAGGAAGTTCATAAATGTTATTCTGTTGAGTTGGAGTTAGACCCCATACAGATCCCGTTAGATTTTCAATGTAAAATTTCAAATCTGTGATTGGATTTTGGGACTTGTTCTTGATATCACTTGGTGCCTGTAATAGGTTTCTTTACCAACAGTCCATGTATTGGTTATTGAATGGAGGAATTCAACCGGGGTTTCTGCAAAAAAATAAATAAAATCCTTTCTTAGTTTTTCGAACACGTCATATTCAATGATTATTACGCTAATTCCTCTAGTCATATTAAATTCAGTGTACAAAACACGTCGTGTTAATTACGTAATTTTCAAGAGTTTATTTGCGAAAAACTAACCTGATTGGGGTTTATTCTGAGATACTCTATGACTGCGAAATATAGTCGAATAATGTGTAACCAACCTTGTGGTGGTTTGTGGTAAGATTTTGGCAATCCTTGATGATAGATAACCTGCAAAATGAGGCCAATCAAGAGATGAATATGTAAACTAGTTTGGTGTATCCAAGATTTGACTAAACTAAAGGATTAGACAATAAAACATATCGTGTTATTATCGAGTCATGTGTACCAAACTTCAAACTTACAAGATGACTGAATGTGCTTTTAATTACCTAGGACTTGAGCCTCGGGACACTTAATTACACCTTTTGCCTTGGCATGATGATCAGAGTACACTGCCATAAGAAATGCAGCTGATGCTGCATATTGCATATTGTTCCATTCACGTACGTAAAGTAGACCCCCTTAAAAATCATCATTATTGTTGACACACTAAAAATGTAGCCCAAATTAAATGGTCCAAAGAACGAAACCCAGTTGAAAATTCAAGATGAAAGTCCAAACAAAGGGTAAGAAGCCCACAAACAAAGGAACGTTGTCATCCAAGCTTACAGAGCATCCAGATGTTGAGCGAATAAAATACCCTATGGACGCCCAGAGCGAAGGAGTCGTCACCCAAATTGCTGGATCGCCCAGAATCCTGACGATGACTAAACCCTGCGACTATCTAAAAGTCACGGTTTGAGGCGGTTTGAGCACATTACGATTACATCCCACGATTTGAGAAAATTAGTGACAAACAGTTATGAAGAAAACGTGGTGGTAGGAGTTACAAATGGTAGTTATTGGTCAGTCAGCCACTATGAAAGAAATGGGTAGTTATGAGCAGAGTCCAAACGGTTGAGAACTGCCCAAGGAGTATAAAAGGAAGAGGAAAGCAATGAAGAAGGCCCCGACAAAATTCACTCTCAAATAGAGAATATGTAATTTATTTTTTCTTAGATTAACTTTAATTACTTCAATTTCCTTGTATTTGTGTGCTTGCGCCCCTTGGAGGTATCTTGTTCGTGTCCAAACTGTAATCTTCATATTCGATAAACACCCATTTTTGGGACTTTGTTCCAAGAGGTTTGTCCCTTACACAATCGTCTGATCCTCTTTTAATTGTTAGCGAGTTACCACGCGAAACAATTATAAATAAATTATAAACAAAAAAATCATTAAAAAATGAAAAAAATTAGATTAAATAGTAGTGTTCAAACCAGGAGTCATGGCTACGTTGTAACCATCATTCTTTTGTAGACAAGCACATGTAAAATAATCTACTTTTGCTTGATATTGTTTTTGGGTTGAAGTGTATGCTCCTCCAGCTCCATCCAGCAAAACCTACATTGAACACCGATATGGTAACATTTTCAAACGTCGGGACACTTTTGTTGTGTAGTACTGAACACGATTAGACACTTTCGCTGTTTAAGTGTTTAGACTCTTTCGAGAACCCTCCAATTAATGTATTGTTCTCTTCATGGTATTATGTAAAGCCCCAAGTCTAGACCATCTCTATATTTGTGTCGTCTTAGCTGCTCAGAAACATTTTGATCAAATAGCATATCACTCTTGTAGTCAGCTTTAAATTTACGAGAAACTACTAACGAGATTTAATGTTGTTGTATACTGATTTTATACACTTATTCGAGGTCTAAAATAGCGATACTTGATAATTCTTTTGACAAAATATATCCTAAATTATTGTATTTTATGTTATATAGGTAAAATTCAATGGTTGGATGATGAATTGAAAGAAAGAAGCGAAAATTGGTGGAAATGGCAAAATTCAAAGTTTGGGGATCAAATTGCAAATATTCTATAATTGATTGGACCGAAAGATGAGTTGAAATATTTTTAGGACACAATTGGATGGAATTTGAATTCAAAAAGAAATGGAATGTGATCAAAATATTATTGAAGATTTATATGAGACAATTGGATGGAATTAGAACTCAAAAAGAAATGGAATATGATCAAAATATTATCAAAATCAATTTCCAATCGCACAAGTTATATTCCAGATTTTTAGTCAAATATTGAGACCCATTTTTGGCATAGTAAACGTTCGAATTGGGAAAATTATATTTCTAAAAAATTTGTATCACTTCGAAGCTATCTTTCAACCATATTTTGAATATCTTTAATCGGATATCGGACGAAAAAATTATGGTCAAAATACTGACTGCTGTGCAGAGACAAAAAATCCGCACGCGAAGACAACTTTTCTTATTCGATTGGAACTCTTTTGGAAGTCAATTTGGACGTGATTTTTCACCAATTTTTGACTCCTACAAATACCTAACAGTAGAACACATATGTAGGACCTCTCATATATATATCATACTCCAATATTCATCAATTATTATCATTAAATAAGGAAAATTCATAATTTTTGTGAGAGAATTGAAAAGAGTTTGAAAGAATTCAATCAAGTGAAAATTCAAACCTAATTTTCGGACAAAGAAGGGAAAGCGCAAGTGGAAATTCATCAAGAAATTATTGAAGAGATTCAAGATTTCAAGATTCATCTTTATCTTCTCAACTAATCAAAAATTCGAGTTGTATCTTTTCACATAATATGATTTTTTGTAATTTCAATATGTTAGGCTAATTTTATACATTATTAGGATGAGATGAACCCTTGTTAGGGTTGGACAAAACTCCCGAACCGAATCGGACCGGACCGAACCCGAACTCGAACCGAATCGAGCAGTTCTTCATAAGTTAAATACCCGAACATGTATCTGAATCAAAAACCGACAGGTTTGGTTCGATTTTCGGTTCTAGACCAAGAACCGAATAAGAATCGAATTTCAATATTTTTTTAAATTTTTTATATTGAATTAATTAACTTTTTTTAATTTTTTTAAACAAATTAGTAAATTAACTAATTTAGTGATTAATGTTCTAACTCCCAAGTCCCAACCCAGCCCAGCCAAACTGAATTTCTAAATTCAATTTTTTATTTAATTTTTTGGTCATATTATTAATTTCATTTTCTTATCCCAAGATCTAGGCATTTTTAAGTTTTTATCATTCTCTTTCCAATTTCACACATTCATTCGATAATCACTGAGTCACTGACCCCAAATTATTTGATAAATTGAAAATCTAAATCTACATGCCCAAATCGAAATTGCTGATTGCTGATTGCCGAGTCCGACTTCTCCTCTCCAATGCCCATCAAAGCCGCAACCTCCAACGACGACCACTGATCATTGACTACAGACTATTAGATATTTGTTAAAAAATTTAATTATGGTACGGAACCGAATAGAATCGAATCGAACTGAACGGAACCAAACTCAAACGATTTCATAATTATATTTGGACCCGACGGTTCCATTTCTTAAATACCCGAAAATTTTGGTTCGGTTCAGTTTTCTTGAGTATCGTTCTTTTCAATTGTTTGATCATCAATTGAATTGTTAGTGGATTTTATTGTATGTGGTCCTCAAAATCATATATTATAAGTCAACGTATTTCTAAATAAGCAACTTTGAGAGTACTCAACAAGTTAACCGTAGGCTACAATTGAATCAAATGGAAAATACATCGCACCCTATTTTTAAATATCATTATTCTAAAAGCAGTCCAGATGTTTCAATATTCACAAATCAGATATTTTATATTTATATATTAAATATACAATTTTCATCCAAAACCCTAAAAATAATTTATTCTCCCCTCATTTTCTCTCTCTTCTCAGTCACTTTACCTTTTCCATCCCTAACTATTCGGCGCCACACCAACCCCCTCGTCCGGAACCACCCTCATTTGGTGGCAGCGACAAGGCGACGGCGCAGCGGTTCCCTACAGACATCACAACGACATGTAGTGAGACGACGTTGCTGCTCGAATCTGCAGCACAGCCTTGATTTTTTGGGGAGTTTTTTTTGTTTTTTGATTTGATTTATTGTGGGTGGTTTTTTGGTTGGTAATTTTCTGATTAGATCTATTGTGGGTAGCTTGTTAGTTGATGCAGTGGTGGTGGTGCGCGGTTCATTTTTCCCCCAAATTTTCTATCTCGTGGCCTATAATGGGCGGTAGTGCGGTGGTCGATGGCGGCGACAGTGGTGGTGGTCGTTGCGGCAGGTGGTTTGTGTGTGAGATGGCATGGGTGACTTGATCTGGTGGTTGTTTTGCATTGTTTTGGTAGTGGTTTGTGTTACCGTGGTGGTGGATTTGCGTTGCTATAATGTGTGGTGGTGTTGTGGTTGCTGTAGTTGTGATTTTGTGCAGTCTGGTAGTGGTAATGGTGATGGCGGTGGCGGTGGTCGTGGGTGGGATGAGATGGGGTGGGTGTTTGTGACCAATTATTTGGTTGCTTGTGACCAATAATTGGTTAATTTGTCACAAATAAATAATATATGACTCACAATTTATTAAGTTGTGATCGAAATTATGATCAATTAATTTGATAATTTGCAATGAATAAAAGAGTCGTGATCAATCAAAGTTTTGATTTTGTAACCGATGAATAATATATGACCTATAAAATTTTTGATTTGTGATCGAAAAATAATATGTGGCCTATAAAATTTTTCAGTTGTAACGAAAAATAATTTGACCTATAAAATTTTTAATTTATGATCGAAAAATAAGTTATGACCAATAATTTGATAAGTTTTTTATCAGTGACCAATAAAGTCAATTGTAACCTATAAATTTTTTGATTTGTGATCTCGAAATAATTTGTGACCAATTAATTTGATAAGTTGTGATCGAAAATTAATTTGTTACTAATTAATAAGATATTTTGTGACCATAAAATAAGTTGTGACTTGTAAAGTTTGTGATTCGTAACCAATGAATAATATATGACCTATTAATTTGATAGATTTGTGATCGATAAATAAATTGTAACCTATAAAAATTTTGATTTGTGATCATGAAATAATTTGTGACCTATAAATTTTTTTATTGTGACCGAAAAATAATTTGTGACAAATTAATTTATGATTTGTGATCAAATTGTATAGAATTGTAATCTTAATATATTTAATTAATAAATTATTTTATAAATAAAATTTAAAAAATATGATTTTTGAAATTTTAAACTTTATTTTTTCGTTTTGAAATATTTTTAATCTCTTTTTACATGAATTTTTCCCTTGAAACAACCCGTCTGGAGATGTGCCTAAAAGTGTTTTCAAATTGTGGAAAGTGGACATTACACCAGACCCTATGTTTTAATATCCAACTTCAAAAATCAGATGGAAGGTTTTATTGTTCAAAAATCAGATATTTTATTTTTAAATATTAAATATTAATTACACAATTTTCAACCTNCAGCCAGCTAGATCCGACCTGCTTTCACCACAAATCCGACCACCGTCTCTCTATTTACTACAGATCTGATGACACCTGCACGCCTTGCAGGTGGTAGTGGATCTGCGACGTGTGGCCTTTGCGCAGTGGAGATTCGTGATATGGGGAAGAGAAATCTGTGTTTGGCTTCCCGGAGAAGGGGCATTGTTGCAGTTTGGTGGTGATGAGGGTGCTAATAGGTGGTTGGTGCAGGGGGTGGAGCTGCGACGACAGTGAGGTGGTTTTGGGTTTGTTTGTTGGTGTGGCGGTGTGCTGTCCTCCATTCTCTCTCTCTCTCTACACAAACCCGTCCCCTTCGGACAGAAGGTGCGCGAATCGTTGCCGGGGTTTTTGTGTGGTGGCGATTTTGTGGTGGTGGATTTGATGGTTGCGGTGCTGTGGTGTTTGTGCAGTGGTGGTGGCTGTAGTGCTTTGTGTGGTTTTTTGTGTGGTGGTGGTGATGGTGTTTTGTGTAGTGGTGGTTGTGATGGTGGTAGTGGTGGTGGTGGTGGTTTCTGGCGGTGGAGGTGGTTGTTGGTAGATAGAGAATTTGATTAGAGTTGATTGTCGTGATTTTTGTTAGTAGTTGACTGGATTTGGTGGTGGCTATTTGTTGGTGATAATGTCATGGTGTTGGTAGTGGTGGTGGTGGTGTTATGGTGGTGGGGGTGAGCAGGTAAGGGTGGTCATAAGTGGCGGTGGTGACAGTGGAGGTGGTGGTCCTATGTGACCCACTATTTGACCTGTGACCCACTATTTGACCTATGACCAACTATTTGGTCACGTGTTAACAATTATTAAACTATATGTGACCCACTATTGGACCATAACTTTAAAACTCAATAATTTGTGACCAACAAATTTGAAATTATGTGACTGATGTGACCTATAATATTTTTATTTGTGACCAATAAAATAAATTGTAACCTACAAAATTTTGATTTGAAACCATAAAATAAATTGTGACCAATTAATTTGATAATACGTGATCGAAAAATAAATCGTGATGTATAAATTTTTGATATGTGATCGATAAACAAATTGTGACCTATAAAATTTATGAACTGTGACCGTAAAATAATTTGTAACGTATAAAAATTATAATTGGTGACCAAAAATAATACGCGACTAATTAAATTGTGAATCTATGACGATATTGTATAAATTCGTGACTTTAATATATTTAATTAATTAAATATATCATAAATAAATTTTAATAAAAATCTGATTTGTGAAATTCAAACTTATTTTCTCATTATTGAAATGGGTTATACTCCTTTTTATGAAATTTGGGAAAATTATATAAAACCAGGGGTTTAGTTTATCATTTTTAAAAGTCGGGTTTACCTTTTTAAAAATCAGGTTTTAAGTTTATTTTTGTAAAAATTAGGTAGTATATTAAAACATAATTCTCAACCTAATTTCTCCCCCCATTCCCGTCGCCTCCCCTTTCCTCTCCTCCCCTCCCTCCAATCCACAGCAACGTTGCGACTGCAGGCGTCGCAGTCGCGACGCTGACGCTGATGTGAATCCCGTCACCTCCCCTTCACCCTCATCTCCTCCCCATCCCTCCCGTCTCGCAGTCGTGACGCTGCTGTAGGTGTGTGGCGTCGCAATGCTGCTGAGGGAATCGAAGGCGCCGCCATTTTACCGATTCTAGTGTTTCTCACATTGGGTTGTTCATCGGTTAGAAACATTCTGGCAAAGAAAGATTTTGATTTCTGGCTCCAATCACTACCCAATAAGCACTCTTCAGGTAACATTGCTAATGTCTGTTTGATGTGTTGGAGTTTTATGTTGTTTTTATTGGTGGTGTTGGTGTTTTGTAAACAGTGGTGGTTGTGGTTCTCGTGGTGATTGTGCAGATTTTGGTGGTGGCGGTGATTGGTCAGATTTGGGATCTTTGGTTTGCAGTTGTGCAGTGATTTTGTTGGCGGTGGTCGTGTTGGCAGTGGTGGTTATGTGAATCTAATATTTTTGGTGGTGGTTGGGATGTCGACTGTGGTGGTGGCGGCGACGGTCGTGGGTGTCTGTGACTTAGGAATTGTAACGGTGACT